TAAATAGCTTACATGTTTGTTTTGTAAATATACAAATGTGTAGATTTGGACACATAGATCTGGATGGATTTATTCCTTTTGAAATGCTAACAGGGATCATCTCTAAGGAGCAATATTGTGTTGTTTTTTCTTTGGTTCTTTTTGCCTACATGAATTTCCCACATTTTTTGTAAGGAGCATATTTTACTTTTAAAATTTGTTTTTGAAAAGGTCTCCCTAGTAAAAATAAATAGTAATTTTCTGTCTCCACCCAGTTTGGGATATACTTATATCATCACCTCTTTTACATTTGACTTGGTTATGCTCACATGTATCTCTTATCTACGGAAACACTAGTGTGAAAGGAGTTTCCAGTACGCGCCCGATGCTGGGCTAGTGCCGATCCTCCGAGTGAGTACAGGGTGACATGTGCTTGTCCTCACGGAGCTTACAATGTAGGGAGGAGACAAAAATATGTAACAGGAGAACAAGACAATTAAAAGATAAGTATTCTGAAGGAAGCAGAGGTGGTGCAATTAGAACGAACTCAGCTCCTGTGGAAAGAGACCCTGCTCTGTTCACCTGCTCATTATGTGTGCAGTAAATGTTTGACGGGTGAATTGAGGAGGCCCTATGAAGACTGTTTGATGGACCTTAAAAAGGGAAATGGGTGTTTTCGCAAATGATTATATTCTAGGATTCCAAGGAAATCATATTTTTCCAGCTAAAATATGAAACCTCTTTTTTCCATTAGTATACAGTGTGGGGGTACGTAAGATTTTGCATTTATGTTATACAATCGTAGGGATAATGTTCAATGGTAAGATTTTTAAAATATATTCAACAGTTTTAAAATGAAAATATACATGAACAATGTTGTTTCCTTTTCCAGGTGGATTCATCCTTCCTCTCCCTTTATGATGGCCACGTGGCAAAGGAGATTCTTCTTCGAGCTCTTACGCTATTTCAGAATATAAATAACTGCCTCAAAAAGGAAGGCCGCTTAACTGTCCAGCCTACTTTCCCTCAAGGTTCATTGTTTTTCCTGTTATATGGAGAAGAATGTGCCCAGAAAATGAGAGCATTAGTTAATCATCACGATGCGGACGTGAAGGAAAAGGTAACAATACCACCCAAATTCTAACTGGTAGGTCATACTTTCCAAAGAGTAATGCGGTCTGGAAGTAACTTCATCTTTACAAAGGGATTCTTCCAGCTGCTGAATTTAAACAGTAAATATCAGATTTCATCATTTCCACAGCTAGAACTTGCCATAGTCTTGTGATGTATTTTGGACCATTTTATTGATACTAAACAAATATAACAGCTTGTTCTGAAACATTTATTTCCTTTTATTTTGCTCTTTGCTGAGCTACTTTAATCATTTCTTCTACATGAAGTGGCAGTGACCTTTTTATATGTAAGCTACTCCTCTGCTGTGTGCTGTGATAGTTCTCACCTGAGAGAGCATTAGTGTGTGATTGTTTCAGAACTGCCGTAGGAATGACCTTCTTTTAGTAACAGTGAGATCCTATGCTCGAGTCCACCTGCCAGCCTAGCCGTACTGCTTTCAAAAGTCTATTCTAATTATTAAATCTATTCTAGTCAATGAAAATGGTAAACTTTTTGGAGAAACGTTTCCTAGTACTCACCCACTCCCATTCAGTGTGCCAGCATGTAAAGATGCTGTTATAAAATACTGGGATCCATCCAAGTGCCCACCTATGGTCAATTGGTTAAGTCAATCATCTAATCTTAAAGAACTAAGTAGGACTGAATGTGCTAATGTGGAAAGACGCCCCTGAAATATGAATGTTTTTAAATGAAAGCTATTTTGGCTTATCTATGGATAGCCACTTCTAGAATGATACTCAAACTCCTGGGTGTGGGACTGTGGAGTGAGGAAATGACTTTTCTATGTTCACGTTCTGCTGTTTGAAATTTTTACTGTGGCATAAATTTTATCATAATTTTTTAAATAAAAAGGAAAAGTAACTCACAAGGTTATGTTTTTGCCTATTAATTGATAGTACTTTATTCATTCATTTTCATCCATATTTTACTTAACTAAAATTACATATAATATATGAAAGTTTCTCAGCTATTATCTTTAATAATATTTTTGCTCCATAAGCTACTATAACAATTAATTGCTATATTGAAATGCAGCCAGGTTTTATAATATTCAAGTTCATCACCACCATGCTCAGTATTAAGTAAATAAAAATGCAAGCAGAAGCTTTCCTACTCAAGTATTTAAGGCAAAGCTTTAATAGACTTTAAATTCCATTGGTAAATACATGGATTTCCACAGGAAGTCAAAATCCTCAAACAGAAAGATGTGTTTTCACAGTTATCCTGATACAGAACTCAAACGTGAAAGAAATATTTTTACAGTAGAAAAAGGATTCAATATTGAGATGAAAACATGTAAATTCCTAAGTGGCTACATTAGTAATGTACATATGATGACTAAGAATAATACTTTTCTTTATCAGTGATGCAAACATAAGTATTAATTCCCTGAAAGATACATTTCTTTATTATAATTTTTTAATCTGCCTCCTTATTTACCAAAAATATATATTCAAAATGCACACATTAAAAACTGGGCTTTGGTTTCAATGTGCTTTAGCAGCATTGAATTCTAAAACTGCCTCTTTTCTTCTTCTGTTAGTTTGAATAAATAATCACATATCCTGGAAATCAGAGCATTGACCCTGAAATGTCAAAATGCTGGAGAAAGAGGGGGCGTCCTTTTAACTACCCAGAATGAATTACATAATGAAAACGCACAAGCAGATCTTTATCTCTGTAGATCATGGCACACCTTGGCTTTTATTTGGTGCGACTTCTCCTAATTGGTGGTTGCATCTCTTGAGCAATGAGGAATGCCAGTGCTCCTCAGTTCCCACAGGAAAAAGGGAACCTTCAGTAATGTCTCACATTGGTAATGATGCCAGCTAATCAAAGAGGAAAATGAAATTGACTTAGAGAAGGAAGGAGATTAAAAGGTATTATGAAGTACATGAGACTGAATGAAGGGAAGAGAATTATTTGTCTTTTTCAATTTTCTTTTTCATTTTGCAGATAAACCCTTCAAAATGTAGACATAAGTAAAATATAAAATGGGAATAACTCAACAGAGTGAGATTCTATAAGAAGAGATGAAGCTTAGTGTACTTCTTAGTAATAAAACATCAAAGTAGAAAGAATGTGAATGGTAATTAAAACTTGTGAGGCAGCCTAGAAATCTGAGGCAGGCCCAATTAAATGGAACTAGCACATAATTTAAGGTGCTTAGCGACCATCAGTTGGTACATGTGGATACAAAAATAATGTTAAGGCATTCGACAGAGAAGAAATCAAGAGGTACTTAGCTTGTTTCATAGAGCAGAGGTAAGAGATGAATTTTCCATTCAGCGTGAAACAGCAAGGAAGGTGATCACAAAAACACTGGCTAGTATTAGGGCAACACACTCAAAACTAATCCACCACAAACCTAACGTCCTGATTTGAAGCTGCTTGCTAAATGCTCCTTTGAAGTGAAAAAAGTTTATGCTTATTCAGTTTTTTTCCTGAAGGTCCATTTTATGGGGAAATTGTTTGTGCTTTAGTGTCCCCAAATCACATACATTCACATGTAGTATATACACAAACATCATATACACATTTCCTTTTGACCAATTTGCATCTTTGTAGATAAAAATGCTAAATTTTGATTAAGATCATTTAGATTTGGTTTTGGCTTTCCAAATTTTACAAAATGAATGAGATAAAGTTGTCAATCCTCAGTGTTTAATGTCCTGATATATATACTGAAATCTGTAACAGGAACAATACATTATCAAAAAAGTTAACCTATTTTCAGCTTCCAATTCTACATATATGTATTAGGTAAGGGTATCCTAAAAAATCATTTTCTCCCTTATATTTTCAAAGTGCATTTTTAAAAAAAATCAATTATTCATAGTTTTGGGAGGTAGCTCAAAATTCTCCTCTTGTTACACATGAGGAAACTGAGGCACAGTGAGCATAGGTGACTTGTTTCAGTAACAGAAAGCTCCTTGGTGAAATTAAGTGGCTAACTGTAGCATGCATATATATGTGCTACGGCACCGCCTGGGTAGCATTTGGTGTAAAAAACCTACTTTGATTATTTGTTATGAATAAAGTTCATTTCACTGAGACTATGAATGAGACAGAATGGACCTCCAAATGTATCTAATCAGCTCTCTTCACTTAAGATGGTTCAGAGTAATCAAGTGACTTCAGAGCCCTTAGGACTGAGCCTCAGGTCAGCTGATTCTTCTCTCTCTCTCTATATATATATATTAGTACTAGAGGCCCAGTGCACAAAAATTTGTGCACTCAGTGGGGAGGGGGGTCCCTCAGCCTGGCCTGTGCCCTCTCGCAGTCTGGGACCCCTCGGGGGATGACCACCTGCTGCCTTAGGCCTGCTCCCCGGGGGATTGGGCCTAAGCTGGCAATCAGACATCCCTCTGGCAGCCCGGCAGCCCTAGGGGGATGTCCATTTGCCAGCGGGGAGCAGGCCTAAGCTGCAATCGGACATCCTTAGCGCTGCTGAGGAGGCAGGAGAGGCTCCCACCACCATCGCTATACTGGCAGCCATCAGCCTGGCTTGTAGTTGAGCAGAGCTCCCCCCTGTGAGAGCGCCCTGACCACCAGGGGTAAGCTCTTGCATTGAGGGTCTGCCCACTGATGGTCAGTATGCGTCATAATGACC